TTCTAAGCCAGCGTCTAGGCTAATTTGCATTGTAATTTAAGAGTTCCCTTAGTGAATTCTAATATCAATTCTTAAGCTAGCTTAGGCTAGTGGACTTAGGCTTAGGGCGTATATTAGAGCTTAAGTAGAGTCTTCTTAAGCAATCCTAATAGTAAGATCCTTCTGCTTCTAGCTATTAAGCTAGTTGATATATAATGTACGCTCTTAAAATAGCAACTCTACTAGTGTACACCTAATTATAGAATGCTTTTAAGTGTTCATTGCTAGTATAACTTCTAGCAACCCATTTACCTACTCTGTTAATCCGTTATCCATTTTCTAAGCTTATATCTTTACTTTAACAACTCTATTTACTTGTTTAACTAAGCCTTGTGTTTGTAGTGACTATAGTGCTCTATTAATAATCTAAATCCTATACTTTCACAATAGAATAAGTAGAGCCCCTTTAAATTCCTTTCCGTTATTAGATTATATAATCTTAGGTGGTAAGAATGCTATAATAAAGAGAGTAAAGGCCTCTGTAATTAGCTCTACGTGCTTGCTCTTTAATGGATATAGCTAGGTATATTTTAAAAAGTAGTCTTTAATATGTAGAATCCATTTAAATTAGCCTAAAGGCTTATGCTACATATTAATTAAGTTAATTTAAACCTGTTCCTACACCCATTTAGTAATAATTAGGACTAATGGTGCTTTAGTTGCTACTAGCCTATTTAAAGCACAGTTCTTGCATAGCTTTAGTATAAATGCAACTTCCTAGCGATTAATTCCATAGTATTTTTATTAAATAGCTGCCTAAGCCTTCTCTTAACTAACATAGAGTAGTTGTAGGTGTTTATTAGTAATAGTATTAAAGGCCTTACTCTCTAGAACTACATATCTTAGGTTTTGAAACTTAGAATTAGGCTTTTAATATAGCCTATTATTAATAAGTTGGAATTTAGTAAGTGCACGATGCTTTAATCTAGACTTAGTAGGATTCTCTAGCTTAAGATTAGGGTTGTTAATGAATATATGCAACTAGCGCTATTTTACATATAGGATTCGTTCTTAATTGACGTAGTTAGGCCTCTAGATATAGGATTGAAATGCAATACGTACATCGTTAGGAAATGGATTAATAGAAGAAATCGAATTATCTATATTAACAGTTAATAGTTTAGAATGAGGAACTAGGAATTAGGAATTAGGAATAGGTGATAATAGGTATATATTTCTACACTGCTACTCCTACGATTTGCAAGTAGCCTAGGTGGATCTAACTATTTGTAAATAGCCTAGGCCATTTACAAACATAGATATTTATAGGTGGCCTAGACCATTTGCAAATTCAATCTATTTGTAAGTGGCCTAGAACATATGTAATAGCTAGTAAAATATACCTAAATTATAAGTAAGGCTTACCTATATACAACTTATCTTAACTATAATAGTAGGAGTAGGGTAACCCTTAATTATATTATACCTAGGTTCCCTACTATAACTGTTTTATATTAGGGACTATCTAAAGATCTAGTATAACTAGACTATTAGATAAGGGGCAAAAACCTTAGTTAATTAAATAAACAATCTACTATGTTATATATAGCTATTAATAGTAAGCTACCTAGTAGTAGCTGTTATTCTAAATCCCTTTTAGTAGAAGATATACTATCCTTACCTTAAGCTATTATTTTATAGGTATATATAGCTATATCTTTACTATAAAAAGAGATATATTCTACTAAGTACTAAGATAGCTATAGTAAAGTTAATAGGTAATTAGGATAATATTCTTTAGAGTATAAATTTCTAATAGTAGAGCTAATTTAGTCTAATAGATGTTACCCTAGCTAAGTAGTAGTTATTTAATAACTAGAATAACTAAACACTATCTCTAGTAAAAGAGGGGAGTTAAATTAGGAGTTTTGTTATAGGTATAGTAAGAGGCCTAACTTAGGGGCAATGTAGGCCTAGGGACTAGGGCTAGGGGACTAGTGCCTTAGGCATTCTATAGTAGTTATGCCTATATACCTACATACCCTATGCCCTATAGCTAGTAAGAGGGTGGCATGTACTACTAACCTACTACTAAGTTAGTAGGGACCTAACTACAAAGTAGTAGATAAGAGTAGCTAAGCCCCCTATAGGGAGGGCTTAGAGATTAGTCTATTAAATACCATTTCTATTACTAGAGCCTATAGCTATAGCACGCTTCTACTAAACCCTTATAATAAGAGGCATAGTAAAGTAGAGGAAAATAGCATTGTTACTACCTATAACACTAACTAAACACCCTCTAAGCTAGGGCACCCTTAGAGCTATAGCCCTTATAGAAGCTACCCTTCCTAAACGTCTTACTAGCGTTATAACAAGCAGCTACTACTATAAGAGACAAAGGGTTAAAGTAACCCTATATAAAAGACTACACCTAAGTTCCCTCTAATATAGGGCCTACCCCCTACTCTCTATAGGAGGCCCTAACCCTATTCTCTACCTCTTTCTCCTTCTCCTTCTCTTTCCTATAGGAGGTAGGTGCTAGGACTAACTTTATAGTAGTAGCAACAATAGCAGTACCTACCTCTACTACGTTTACTACCTCCTTTAGGAGGCTAGGAACCTCTAACTACTCTATTTAAAGACAGTATAGTAACAAATAAACAACTTAACCTAGGCTAGTACTAATACCCTACTAAGAAAGGAGATTTACTTACCTTAAGTCTTAAATTAAGAGACTTAAGGGCTATGTAAGTTACATAGGCCTCCTTATAGAGGTCTTAAGTTGCCTTGTTCTAGAACTTAGGGATAGAGGTAGTAGTAAGTAATAGGATGTAGTTAGCCTTAATAGCAGTAGCAACAACGTTGTTTAGGACAAGGGGGGTAGCTGCTTTAGTAGTAAAGAGGTTAGTAAACTTAGGCCTAATAAACTAAGGTAGCTATTCCTACTAAGTTAATACTAAACGAACCTAAAAAGAAGCTAAATGCAAAACTAAAGAGTAATAGGAAACCTACTAGAACATATATAGAATGCTATAAAGTATAGTAACTACACTTTAAGCTAGTTAGGGACTAGATATAAGTATAGGCTATAGCCCTATAGGAAATTACCTAAAGGCAGTAGATGTACATAATGTAGAAGGCATCTATAAAGGCCCTAGAGGGCATAGGAACTAGCATCTTTAAATTAGAAATCTATAATTTCCTATTAGCCTAGCCTAAGTTATTACTACTATGCTAGCGTAGTTCCTTAACCTACTAAATCGTTTAAATTGGTTTTATATCTAAAAACAATTAATTAGTATCCTTCTCTTTGTTTAGGAGAGGCTACTTACTAGTCTTAGAGGGGGGTTTAGTATAACGCTAGGTCTTAAACTATAAGACTTATAGAGGTTTTATTACGTTAGTTTACTTAATAGAGGAGGTAGGGGATTAGACACTAAAGGCTTTTATAAAACACGTTATAATATATAATAAATACTATATTAAGTTAAGCACGAAGCTCCTATCTAAGGAATAACTATCTACTTATATAGTAGCGTTGTACTAAAGGGGACTATAAGGAACTATAGGAACTATAAGAGTTCTAATAGTTCTTATAGTTCTATTACATATATGTCCTATAAGAGGTGCTATACTTATTGTAGGTGCTAATTCCTATAGGTGCCTTTCTAGGGAGGCACCTTACTCTATATAGGTGCCTTTCCTAATAGGCACCTCTCTTTTACTAGGTACCCTCTAAGAAAGGTACCTTTTCCTAAAGGTGCCCTTATTAACTAAGCTACCTACAATCTCTATGTCTATTTCCTACTACTAGTTAGCTATAAGCTATTTTACCCTATTACTCTATCTTATAGTATATAGGTTGTATGTTTTAGCTATAACATTTAGTATGTTGTTATAAAGAAAACAATAGGAAGTAGGTAAACCTTAATTTTATATTCTAGCTTATAATAAAGCTGTCTAAATTAGGTTTAGTGCAATCTATCTCTCCTTATACAAACAATCTAGAGTCTATAGCCCTAATTAGACTTAATTTAATACTAACCTAGACCCTCACATATAACTTACTACCTTAAATAAAGAAATACCTACTCCTCTACCCTCCTTAGCAACAACTTAGGCTATAACACCTATAACTTATATAATAAACTAAACATAGAGTTCTATATGTATACTTTAAGGACAAAGCACCCTTTAAAGGTAGGGGGTAGTATAAGGATACCTCCTTACTTAGGTTAGTTATAGTCGTTACATGCTGCCCCTAAGACTTAGGGCAGTTATAGTTTAATTACAACTATAAGCCTTAGGTATATAGCGTAAGGAAGCCTTAGGTAAATAGGGGGTTAGTTAAGTTAGAGGGGTTTTAGGTATAGAAGGAAACAGGAACAGAGGGTTCCCCCTTTATCTTTTTTATATCCTTTATAGTAGACCTATAGGATTACACTAACTTCTATCTAACTTACACTCCTATATACAACTTCTTATAATATAGTACCCTATGTCCTTATAGATTAGCTATGAGATTTACTATATAAGACAGATATAAGAAGAAATCTACTAAAAGCTAACATAGAACAGCTAGATGTGTTAATCTAAGCCTATTTTAGTATGTTTAATTCTAGCGTAACTAGCTAGAACGCACTGCTAACTAGAGGGACTACTAGGGAACGAATGGATGACTCTAAATCTAGCCCCTAGAAGAGCGCTATACTATACTTAAATAAGAATAGAATTTTAACAACTTAACCCTATGGCCTATACCTATGCGTAGTGACACTTTGTAGTAGAAAATTAAGGGCTATGTTTACTGGTATCATCAGGTAGTAACCAGCAGATAGCTGCTCTTTCTAAAATTGTAGCCCATTTATCTCTATTAGCTAATTTTCCAGGGCTGAAAAAGACGCCATGAAAGGTATAAAAGAGCCGGCTAGCGATTCTCGGGGAGGAAGTATCATGTTTGGATTCCGAAGGAGCTCTACCAACATAGAAATGACATAGTTATTCACAAAGCTAGGGTTAAGTAGTTGATAGTTGGCTTCGCCTCAAATTTATTTTATCTTCTCTATCACCATGTGATTTGCCTTTTCCATGCACGTGACACAGAGGAAATACATGGCGCCTAGAAAAAGCTCTCGAACTACGAGAAACCGAACGATCCTCCACCTAATGATCCTCCACCCCGGAATCTTAAATATCAGAATCAAATCACCAGTTTATTGTTGTTATGTGCCAATTACTTGAAATACAATCACACTATAGTTAACTATAAGCCGACAAGATATAGAGAACCACAAGTTCGGTCTAGGTGTCGAATGGTGGGCCGAAAAAATTGGGCAGAAGCATATAGTCTGCCAAGTCCACCGGCACGTTCCCATCAAAACCCATGGCGTCAGTCTCCGACCAAGCGTAATTTTCGATATTTGAATATCCTGAAGCCTGGGGTTGGGTCGAGGAAGCGTTATTAACGCCCAAGGACGGCGTACTCATTCGGTAGCGATGACTGCTCCCTGACGGCACCTGAGCTTCTGCAGCATCAGATGCGTCTGTAGGAAACAGAATAAATTCAAAAGCCTTCATTGCCCAGACCCCCGGGTCCCAGGTATTCTGCGCTTGAATCAATAGCATTTGGCAGTTGTCGAAGCTGGCTTGGATCATTTTCGCTAGATGACTGTTCTGCGCCTGTTGTGCCTTTTGGTAGAGAATGATTCCTGCCATGAAAAACCCAGGGAACACTTCGTGGGGGATGTTGCAGATAGAAGTCCGCGTCGTGAGTTTGAATGCGCTAGAAGAGACCGCTAGGGCCGATGACTCTGTAATGGCAGTGCAATCGTAGCCTCCGGGCAGCGAGGTCGAGAGCGACGACGGATTAGGTCTCGATTGTCGGGGTTGGTCCATATGGAGGAGCATAATGTGATAATTGAGCAGGACATCGAGTTGCACGGCCAATGTCGACACAGAGGATTTGCCTGGCAGGTATTGCATAGCGGCTGGGAGCTTTGCTTTCCAGGCGGCGAGTTGCTCGTGGATTAGATCAGTTGTAGAACTTACACTGGTCGGCCCAAACCGGAAGTACATGATATTTCGGAGGATAAGTGATAACTTCGTAGCCTGAATCTGGTACTCGAACGACTCGCGGCAGCTGCAGCTTAAGGGTACCGTCGCGGATTGACACGCGTGCTCGTCGGGGAAGTCAGCCTCCGTTAACGCTTCAACGTCGCACTGGGCCATATTGATACGGAATGGTCGTCCCAACAGCGCGGAACAGTGGGCATCGCGGACGGCTAACGTCCACCATAACCGCCTGAGCAGGCCCCGATCATTTGATTCCCCATCAACTGCAACAGATTTGCGGTGCATTCCAAGGGCCACGGCCATCGTCACCCCAATCTCGATCCACGAGCATGGGTTCCAGTACAAATCCATCTGCGGGCCCTTAAAACTGAGCAGGATTGCCACCTTGACTAGGATTATTTTACTATTCTCGTAATTAAAATCAAAAAGAGCCTTGGCTCGATCATAGTAGAGCTGACGTGCTTGTGCGCGAGAATTAAACCCAGCCTTGTAGATTGTGGCAGACTCGCAGAAAGTCATCGCAATAAAACAAATGGAATGGAGCAAGATCCATGGTAGCCTTTTATCCTGCTGCGCCTTGCGTAACTCCGTCGGATTCACGACGGAGTATAGGGGATAGAATCGATCCAAGAAGACGTTAATTATCTCCTCCAAAGATTCCGTTTCTGGGTAAACGAACGCCCCCTTCGCCTTCAGACACTCAATGTCATGCGGGCGTAGGTGCTTCGGATGGACATCTTCTTCAACGACGGCCAGCGAATCACTAGTCAAGTGACGTTGGTTGGCATCGTGGAGGCCCGAGTTCATGTCCCTCCGTAGCTGTAGGGCAAAAGTCAAGGGCGAAGGCTCCCCGAACAGAACTAGCTTCGCCTTGCACAAGTTTTCGTGGCCCGCCTGGTCGAGGAAATCTTCGAACATGGTCGCCAGTGACTGGTTGCCTAAGGAATCAGCCAAGGAGGTAGAGGGTAAACTGTAAGGTGAGCGATTTAGATCCACGGCATGAGGGTCACTGGCTGGTTGATCTAAATTCGAAACTATTTCCTGTGGATATCTCGTAGGAGTGGAGATCGTCGTTGTCTCCCTTGCGACGAACTGGGGTAAGGTAGCAGCCTCAACTCTACCGCGGCCGCTGGATGCATCTAAACGCGACTGGGGGCTAACCTGAGCAGTTGACGGACTATGAGATAAGGGCTGTAACGCTGATGGTGGTGGCGATGATCGTAAAGATGCACCAGGCTTCGCCACCTGCCGTCGGAAAGTTCTTCGATCATAAGTGCCTCGGCGGGAGGTAACCAGTGTACACTCGGCGACATTGTCCAAGCAGCATCGGCTACAAGGACAGCCAAGCTCGGCGGCATCACATTTAACCTTGCGCGCGCTGCATCTCTGGCAAGCCTTGAAGGCTCGCAGCCGCTGCTTCCCGCCGGCTGGAGAGACCATGCTGGTCCGTGGGAGAGAGGTGTTTCGTCCGCGATCGAATGTGGTGCTTTGAAGAAACTCTGGCCAAGGATAATAGTTCACGGTGCCCTAGGGGTGCCCTAGGTGTGCCATCTGCTTCGGTGTCGTCCTCTGTTCCCCGCATTTGGGTTTGGACTAGGAACGAAAATGAGTGGAACTGGGAACTGAAAATAGAAAGGCCAAGGCTTCTAAGGCTAAGGCTTCTAAGGCTCTGGTTGGTCGGTTAGTTATTCGGTGGAAGCCTGAGATGACTAACAGGGTTACCGCGCTATCATTGGTTATTGAGGTTTAGGGCCTTCGGAAGTTCCAAACGGCGGTTGGTTTAGGTTCCCTGCAAGCACCTCGCGACTTCGAAGTATATATATGGGCATTTTCCGCAAGGGCCCTGAACAACCAACCATTACATGTGATGGCACATTTTGCCCAAATGCAAGCCCAGGATAAACAGTCAAGCAGATAGTGTGACACTTCTATAACAACAGTTGCTATCCACTCCGGTTTGTGGCACGAACATATAATTCATAGAGCACTCTGTGCATATTTCGTCTGCACACTGCCAGTTAACATGGTTTTTAGTGTGCTTTCGTTTGCTATGTCAAAGCCCCAGAACTGCCAAAAGCGGTTGTCTGGCACTACAAGATTAGGTAAGCGAACAGACTTGAATCTTGGAAGACTTAGGTTGTTTTGACCGATAGCCCACTCGCAGTTTCCTGGACTGATTGTAGAAGGATGTGATCAAATGCGGAGATATGATATTATGGCGCCAATTCCCAACGGCTATATATCCTGGTCACAGGGTAACGTCGGCTTCAATTTACTACTGAAGAGCGTAGTCGTACCCCCGCTGAGAAAAATGCGGGGACAAAAATGGCTTCCTCCACACTACGATCCGTCACGTACTCCACAGAGTCTCCCTCCTCTTCCACTGAAACAGATCATAGGAAGGAGCAAACAGTTTTGAGAAACACAACCCGCAAGTGCCAATCCTGATCAAATTTCCTATCCAGAAACAAGACATTATTTTATAATATTAAGAACTGGGCAATTGTGGGGGAAGGGACATGTTTGACTCTTCCCTTGCTCCTTCTGTAACTCTTCTTTGCGCCCTAGACAATGCCACAAATGGCTTCTTGTCATCATCCCCGAGATCGAGAAAAAGCTTCTCGCAAACGTTTCGAAGGTCATGGCCCATACTCGGCTTATGAATACCTCACCGCCCCGGTCCTTGAGTGATAAAATCAAAAAACAATCTCGCAAATCTGTTCGTTCGGTCTTGACTGGTCAACAGCTTCCTCCAGCGCTGGCAATCATGACTGACGGTCTCAAGTCGAGTGTATGCTCCATCAAAGACATTTTGTGCATGCGAAATGCCGTACGCCTGCCAGGGAGGCTCGCCGTATGTGTGGCGGAGAACCATCTGCGAGAACATATCCGCTGTAATTTGACAGGAGCGTGGGGCTGCAGAGCCAGCGACCGCGGGGTAACGGCACAAGTAAGTGTTATCCAGCGTATGGAAGGCAGCTCCGTTGAGCAGACTACCCTCCTCCTCATCGGACTGATCAAATCGGTAAATATACAGTGATGGTGAGTTGGGGTTACTACAAGCGCTGGCAACGTTGAACGGCAGACGCGAGAAGCAAGCATCGCCAAGGAGACTAGTAAGTGCTTGCACTGCCGCTGTGTCTGACCTGGCTTCCAGGACGCCATATTCTTCCAGTATCTCGGAACCGAAGGAAAGGTCGCTTGGTAGAGACAGGACATTACGTAGGCTGGAGATCACGGATACCTTGGTTTGCCAAAACTTTTCAAACCCAAATACCGACATTTCGTCTCGCATTGTACCTGTTACGATTGCCTGAACCCAGTTGGGAAATGGCTCCACACAGTCGAGGGGAGCCTCTGGCAAGGCATGGCCGACAAACCATTTTGGATCCCAAATCGGAGATGTCAGCGGCCCGTTCCATGCAATCAAGTCCTCCGTGGAGGCTGTCCGTAATGCAGCAATCCTCTGCGAAGCCGTGGCAGTGAGAGGGATCCCGGCACGCTGCACTAGTCGGTCGAATTTCCCCTGTGCCTCTTCTGGTCGGAGCATGGACCAAGATGGAGCTGATTGCATGATCCCGCGCTGACAAAGGGCCTGGTTTGATCGCAGATGAGCTAGGACAGACCAGGCTCCGGCGGACTCTCCGGCAATCGTTACGTTAGAGCCGTCACCTCCGAACATGTGAATGTAGTCTTTGACCTGTAAGTGGTGAGCGACGAGGAGTATATCGGGTAGAAGACAATTGACGAACCCATTGAAGCCCAATACGTTGGTCGTTGAGACCCTGGTTTGCCCATCCTGCTTCTCCATGACTGACTGCCTCTGCTGCGAGTTCTGATGAAGACAAGAACCCGAAGGACCCCATCCGATAGTTTATGGATACAAACACTATCGGCTTACCTGTCTCAATCGAGTGGTGTACTAGAAAGTCGCCAGCTAGTGACCTCATCAGTAGACCACCAGGTGCAGAGAGAGAGAGAGAATGGGGGGGGATGTGTCTTTGATAGAAGGATTTGCTTGCTTACAGAAGTCAGCGTTCCCGTTTTCAATTGACCACCCACCTCCATGAATCCACACAAGAACAGGCACCTTGTTCCCGGACGAAATGACCGATTTAGGCGCGTATATATTCAACCGGAGGCAATCATACTCGGATTGTGCCAAGTTCGCGGCAGGCGCACCAGCAAAGAGGTGCTGCCGAATGCTGCGAAGATTGTCAGGAGCCTGAGGGCAGATTGGCCCATATTCTGTGGCATCCACTGTGGCACAATGACTTTCGGGGGGAAGGAGTTGAGCCTGACGGAAACGAGCAGGGATACGCGCGAACTGGACGCCGAGAAAATGGGCCACCCCTAGAGCGGAAATAAAGCCTTCGAACTCGGCCTTTTCACTGATTCGGACACTCACACCGTCGTTGTCGCCTCTGACCCCAGCTTGCGACAGCAGTGAAGCCGACATAGTGGAAGTAGCTGTCGAGAAAACAACGATTGGGAGAGATGGCACGCCGCTCACGCTCTGTCAACAATCCGGTCTAGCAGTTCAATCTTCAGTCCTTTTCAATGAAAATGGAGAGATTTATTTCTGAGATCTTGTCATCATCCAGCCTACAAATCATCCGGCCAGGTTCTCGGTAATTGATGGGGTCCGATATTTTGCCACTATGGTTCCAGAGGGTCGTGCTGCAATAACCCGCGGGCAATGGAGCCAACCAACTCAAAGGCCGTCATCACTTGTTCAGCATAGTTGGAAGCCGCTCCTTGCTGCAATTGGTCCTGGAGACAAGGGGGCAAATAGCCGGCCCGACCCCATATAGGCGGCTTACTCAAACTACCTAGGTAACCACGTGCTCTTCCGCCATCATTCGAGTCAGGGCAGGCCTCGAAAGCAAATGTTTGACACTATAAGGGGAAATGTCGCCAAAAAATTTCAGCTCGTCATTGCGGACGAAAAGATCCGACGGCTAAATGACTTACACGATAAGGAGAGATTGAGGCAGGAGGCCATGATCGAAGCTCTGCTTAGAGAGAAACGTTTGCTTTCGAACCAACTGGAGCACAAGATCGAATACACCATGGACGACACAGCATACGAGACGCTCATGCATGAGATTTTCCATCTTCTCACTACATGGTGTTTTAGCAATTTCAAGGTAGGGGCAGGCCCGTCGTATTAAGATTCAGTCAGAAATTGGTCGGTTGTTGGCTTATGGCATTCTTTCTCCACTGGTATTGGGACTTCATTCACGGGAATCACAAATGCTGCATATGGTCAACTGGCAAATTTTGATTTCTGGTAAATACTGCCTATAATTCAATGATCGTCATCTGGGTTTGCTAGAACACGGACTTCAACCGTTTTGACAAATTGATGCGGCTATGGCACTGGAACAGTAGAAACAGCGTATTAACTTGTGAGCCAGCTTCTTGAATGAGGTACGAATATAGAACTCACAATACTCCTAGACTGAGAGCCATTAATCCGGGTTTTGCCTTCAGTTTCATGTTCAAGTTCCAGATGATGTAAGTTGGGAAGACGGCAAGGTAGAGATCAGTTACTAAATTAACGGCTGTGAAGTCGAGATGTTAGTACTTGAGCAGCGACAGTTTGTCGACAGTGAGGAACAGGTTTACTCACATCCTTGGAAGAAGCCAAAGTATGCCTGAATGTGAACTCCCAAGCACTTTGCTTGATCTGGCTGATCCCGAACGGCGGGGCCATGTCCTGGACACTGCAAAAACATGATGAGCATGGATACAACATTTGTGACCACTTGCGTTGCAATCAAGATCCAAGAAGCTGAAGAAAGTAGATGGTGAATGCCACTCGCCCTGGGCATGACGCACTGAGGCTTAAGGCTTGCGTCACGTAATAAAATATGATGACCTTAGGGACACTTGCTGGCGAAAGATACCAAACGTGCTGACCGAGTCTACGCTGTACGCCTATCGTTACTATGATCGATCCTGCCATTCCAAAGATCTGCAGGCAACACAATGGTCCATAACCGTATATTGTATTCTGCTCGCGCCAACCGATTTGCTACAAATGGCTCACCTTATTTGCTAAAACGATACAGAATCTTCTCAGACTTTAAATTAAAACCGGATATCTAGGTGTTTTTGATGACACTTGGACTAGTTACTGATTTAATTTAGAAGTAAGCTAGTCTATAAAGACGCCTCACGAGAAGACGATTCCACCATCGACGACGATATTCTGCCCTGTCACGAACTCCGAGTCAGGCCCGCAGAGGAAGCCTCCAACGACCTTGGCGACGTCCTCTGGCACGCTGACTCTACCCATAGCCGTTAGTTCCGTGACGAATTTCTGAACCGTCTCACCCTTTTGGCGGCCCTGCATCTTGCCTAGCGTCTCATCAATGCGGTCCCACATTGACGTTCCCACGATACCGGGTGCGTAGCAGTTAACGTTGATCTTGTGCTGGGCCATCTCGATTGCGAAAACCTGCGTCAGGCTCCTCACGGCCCCCTTCGAGGCGCAGTAGTGTGCCAGAAGAGGGAAAGGCTTGTACGCCGCGATTGACGACGCGCCTAGGATCTTGTACCCGGTGCTGCCTTCGGAAACGGGGCCTTGTGTGATCATCTGCCGGGCGGCATGAGTATAGCAGTTCCAGACGCCAGTGAAGTTGACGTTCATTGTCTGCGCCACGTCTTCGTCTGACAAGTCGAGCGCAGCGCCGACGCTGGCAATGCCTGCATTTGCGACCATAGCCGTCAGGGGGCCGAGCTGCTTAACCGATTCTTCAATCATGGACTTCACCTCCAATGCTGAGGTCACGTCGGCGATAATTCCCGTGGAGGTGCCGTCCCCATAGGTCTCGTTCAGTTCGGCGGCCAATCTGACCGCGCCAGCCTTGTTGGCTGCGATGTCGTTGATGGTGACGGCATAGCCTTCTGCTGCTAGTCTACGAGCAATGGCTTCACCACTGAGAATGTTGAATTCAAGTTAGCACAAGCACTTGTGTCTGGGATTTGGGATAGAGGCGTAAATACATTCCACGACTTGAGCCGGTCACAATGGCTGTTCTTTTTTGGCGCGAGTTCCTTTTCGCCGTTTCAATTCCGATACAGCGGCGAGCCATAGGTTGTACCATAGGTTGCACCACAGGTTGTGCCCAGCGCCGAGCAAGCATGGAAAGGGGCAGACGCATGCGACTATAGTGGAACTCCATGGTGACGTAGAGATCAGAAAGAGTATCAACACTTCGAGACTATAGTAGAGTCTAGAAGGTAGGAGTGAGTGTCGTTTGACTTTCACTACATAGTTTACACGGCGGATAGATGGATTGATAAGTGGCTAGATATTTAGAGCAAGCAAACTAGGATCTGAACTTGTTTCAGTAGAAAAATGCTGCTCCAAGTTTAAGGATCACGCGTCGTGGGATCTAGTATATACCCGGTCGCGCGGCCGGGTGCGGGGAAATAGCGAATGAATATTTGTAGGAGTCTATAAGCAGTTTTACTCAGGGGGAGGATCATTTGGCCTTGCTATGATGTTGAGGCAACCACACACCTCATCAACGGCTCGGGTATATGCTATGGCGTAGCTGTGTTGATCTGATGTGGGGAACCGGTGCGGGGAATCATTTCCCGAAACAGAGCACTGAGAGAATGGACATGCTAGTCCAGATAAAGCCAAGATAGCCAGTTTCGTAACTCCACATCCCGATGGGTGGGCAACTGATCCCCTCTCTCACCCTCTCTCCATACTTTCATTCTCTACATCCGCGCCTCCTCGGCTCCTATGCACAGACGTGCTCTTCTAATGCACCTTTTCCGAGAATGAACAACCCCGGCTCGCTCGATCTAGCTTCTAACCGCCACAATGCCGCTCCTGTGGAGCTAATGAAACGAGGGATTGTGATGCATTCCCACCTTAAGTCTCCTTCATGGTGACAGCTCCGTCAGACAGCGAATTCACTTACAGAACGTACGGATTACAATGGCAAACATCAGAGCACTCCGTTTTCATGCTAAGAATGATGTTAGGGTCGAGGATGTAACGATACAGTACGTGCAGCCCTGCTTAGTAGTATCTACACAGTTGTAACTGACCGTGGAGAAGGGCGTGTGGTAACGATGATGTACGAGTCAAAATTGCATACTGTGGCATTTGTGGCACAGATGTCCACGAGTATCTTGGGGGACCAATCTTTCCGCCTCAGCCAGGCCAAAGCAACCCTCACACTGGTGCCGAACTGCCTGTGGTCATGGGCCACGAAATGTCCGGCACCATCGTCGAGGTTGGTTCTAATATCAGCCAAGTTAAGGTCGGCCAGAATGTGGCCATAAATCCATCTATGGATGACAGACACCATGGCAAGGAACGTTGTGTGACGTGCGAGTCAGGGCGGCCAAACATCTGCAAAAATTGGGCATGTTACGGGCTAAGCGCTCATGGAGGAGGATTTGCTGATGAGATCGTGGTGAGGGCGGTCAGTTGCATCCCGCTCCCAAAGGGCGTATCGCTCAAGGTTGGGGCATTAGCGGAGCCTTTGGCTGTCGCCTCCCACATGATTCGAATTTCCGGATTCAAGAAAGGCCAAGACGCAGTAATACTAGGCGCAGGCCCAATCGGACTCTCTCTACTTCTCCTGTTGAAGTCTCGGGGCGCGAGGAAAGTGATTATCAGCGAAGTGACCGAATTAAGATCGCGTCAAGCGGAGAAATTTGGAGCCGACCTGGTAGTTAATCCGCTCGCAAAATCACCGGATGGAGACAATTTCGATACATGGAACCCAGTTCTAGACGCTATGCACGGCATTATAGTGGATGGAGCAGACATTGTCTTCGATGCTACAGGCATTCAATCAACTATGGACACTGCAATGGCCGTGGTTAAACCTGGCGGTATTGTGTTCAACGTAGCAATCCACGAAAAACCGCTGCTCATCAACCCCAACAGTTTCTCATTTAAAGAGGTCAAGCTTATGGGCGGTATTTGCTACACGAATGAAGACTTTGAGGACGTTCTCGAAGACCTTGCGAGCGGAAAGATGGCCGCTGAGGACATGATAACATCGATTGTACCACTTGAGAAGGCTATTCAAGGTGGCTTCTTAGAGCTCATCCACAACAGGGCGGAGCATGTGAAGATTCTCATCCAGCCCTCAAAGTCTGCGCATCAAGTCTAGAGAATTTGAAAGGAATTGATTGTATTCTAAAGTATTCTTACTGGTAGTATAGTATCACAGATGCTTGAACGACATCGCTTTGAAAATCAACCTAATCTAGCCATCATGTTGTGAGAGCTTCTGCTATAGACATGAGTCTGAACTGTGGACTAACTGGTGTCCCGTAAACCGTTAGTCGGGTTCTTGTTCTCAGAATTGAACGGAGGGTCTACATGCAAACGCATAATTGATTTCAATAGTCTAAGCCACCCTTCATCCGAGATACCAGACTCAGATAATATCTTATTTCATGATGTCATTAGCAAGGTTTGGAGCAAGTCCCGAAAGAATTGAAAGCCATTGCTGAGGCTAGGGTCGGTTATATGCTATCAAGTTTAAATGCTGTTAGAGAACTCTCCGAATCTGGGCCCCAGCTAAGGAGTGGGGACCCCGGACAATGGTTCGGCATGGTTCATTTAGCTCGGAAGTTTAACGGGTAGTGTATTTTTGCTACTGGACGTTAAACACTGATATATATGCATTGGAGGTACCACCTGCTCTACCTACACGTTTACTATATTAGTAGGACTTGTTTCCATGCTAGTCGAAGTTTTTGACAAATAATAACTAAATATTCCAACAAATTCTTATTCTGATCGCATCAAATCCCTAATGATCTAGGTGTCTAGACATCTCGAACCCCCTTAATCATGTGGCTCGCTCAACTCGAGGGGCGTGCTTTGACCCTGGGGATCACCGCAACATGCGGAACCGCATTTCTGCTCTTTGGCTTTGACCAAGGAGTGTTCGGAGGCATCCTGGGGAACATGATGTTCCTCTCAACATTCAATAATCCTTCGCCTAGCATACAGGGCCAGATCGTATCAACCTTCGACATTGGCTGCATCCTTGGAGCTCTTATGTCAATCTTCGTTGGCGACGTCTTAGGCAGACGCAAGACTATTGCCCTGGGCTGCGTCTTTGTCATTATTGGCGGCACCATCCAATCATCCTCGTACGATATTGCCCAAATGATCGTTGGGCGGATCGTCGCTGGTCTTGGGGTAGGCATGAACTCGGCCGCCGTGCCTATCTGGCAGAGTGAGACGTGCAAGCCCGAGCATCGCGGCAAGCTTATCGCTCTACAGCTCGTGCTCGTGATTGGCGGCATCATGCTCACCAACTGGATGAATCTCGGCTTCACCTACGTTCAAGACAACGATGTCAGCTGGAGATTCCCTATCGCCTTCCAGATCTTTTTCGCACTGCTCGCCATCTTTCTTGTTGCTTGCATGCCTGAGTCTCCTAGGTGGCTCTGCATGAAAGGTCGACACGAAGAAGCCCAAACGATCATTGCTCGCCTCCAGGCAAAGCATAGAGACGATGAATCTGTTACCGAGGCCTTGCAGCTAATCGTCGCCATGGTCACCCACGAACAAGAGCTTGCCAAGGTCGGCTGGCGCGAAATTTTCTCGAACGGGGAGCAACAAACCTTCCGACGAGTCGCCTTGGGCGCCGGAACCTCGATCATGCAACAGATGGGTGGTATCAATGTCGTGGTCTACTATATGCCAGTTATTTTAACAACTTCTTTTGGCTTCAGTGATCGCACGGCCTTGATCCTCTCGGCATGCGACTTCATCTCGCTGATGTTCTGGGGCAGTATCGTCATGCTTGTCATTGACAAGTGGGGACGTAAGAATCTTATGCTCGTGGGCGCTTTGGCTCAGGGAATCTCCTTTGGTGTTGCTGCTGCCGGCCTGGGAATTGGGACGAAAGCCTCCGAGGCCGTTGCTGTCACGGCTATATTTGTTTACCATGTATTCTTCGTAAGTCCTTCGTGCCTTTCGAAGCCATCCACCCCATTGAATGCGGCTAACTTTACTCTGTAGGGTCTATCCTTCCTATCCATCCCCTTCTGTTATCCTTCCGAGATCAACTCTCAACGCATGCGCAACGTGGGTGCTTCTATTGCCATGATCACAAATTGGCTCTTCGTCTACGTCATTGTTCTCATCACACCAATCGGTACGTTCTCCTCTCATGTACTTATCGCCAGCGCCTCCTTCTTTCGTCTAATATGAAAAGTATCTGTATATGTGCTAACAAAACACCACAGGTATTGCCAACATCGGCTGGAAATTCTATATCATCTTTGCCGTGCTGAACATTGCTTGGTTGCCCTTCATCTGGTACTTCTATGTCGAGACGGCGGGCCTCTCTCTAGAGGAGATCGACAAGCTCTTCGAGATCCACTACAAAGGCGGCAGGGGGATGACCTGGAAAGAAGCAACGCGTCTAGCAAAGGAAGAAATTGCCCAGAACAAGATAGCAGCCCATGAGAAGATCTTGCATGGCAGTGCTACTGTTCATAGCGAGTTTGGTGAGACGGGAATGGATGATTAGAAGCCTAGATCCGATGGCCGATGCTGTTGATGGCTTTTTTTCTCTACAAGTCTATCTTATAACGCAAATAATAAAATAGATGTGGTTATCCCGAATCATATCCTGGGAGGGTCACCATAGTCACCTAGCTTACTTTATTAAAGAAAGGATGAAACGGAAATAATATTGTCTAACTTATAATGCACAGCAAATATTCCCAAGTGTTTAGCGTCCCCGTGCAGTTCCTTTTAGACAGCAAATCCTTAGTTACACAAGTCCTACGGGCATAATCCTAAAGGGTCCGGGAAAAGAATTGAGGTCCCCGTCAGAACTTAAACAGATCCTCTGAGGCTGTCGTACCTATGTCACGGCCTGTTCCACAACACCAGGAGGCCTAAAGGGTTAGTGTATGTACTGAATTAAACATTATGCGGCCAAGTTATGAAGATATGGACGCAGCCATAAGCAACCTTCGAGCGCTGATCTGGTAATGGTAGTGTCGTTGTTTGGGTCGTTTTGGGGCGAGGTAACATAGGGCTCTCCCTTTTAATTTGCAGGACCAGAAGGTAAATAAAGCAAAAAGGGGGTTAGCAGTAGACTCTGTGTTATCATCATCACTGGAAACAAGCATTGGATTTTTCACGGGAACTAAACTCGTGAGCAATTTACATTAAATCTACTTTTTCGAAAGCAGATTGTTTTCCAAGGTACTTTAGTGTAAGCTTCCTAACGTGATATTTTTCATGACCTGGAACTCAGCCAGTCCATACTTGCTCCCTTCCTTCCCCAGTCCGCTTTCCTTAATCCCACCAAAGGGCGTCTCACACGCGCTGATCATTCCAGTGTTGACCCCAACCATGCCCACTTCCAGGGCGTTTGCCACCCTCCAGATCCGTCTCAGGTCGTTCGAGAAGAGGTAACTCGCCAGTCCAAACTCCGTATCGTTTGCCTGTTTAATGACATCCTCTTCCGTTTCAAATTTGAACACGGGCGCGAGTGGCCCAAAGGTCTCCTCCCGTGCGACTAGCATCTCGGAGGTGACGCCTGTGAGCAGGGCCGGCTGGATCAGATAGCCTTCGGAGTCTGGACTTGTCCCGCCGGCGACTAGTGTGGCCCCCTTAGATACGGCATCTTCGATGTGCTCCTTTGTCTTCTTCACTCCAGCCATGTTCACTAGCGGGCCGTGTGTGACAGCTGGGTCGAGCCCGCTGCCAATCTTGAAGGTAGACATGCGCTCTTGTAACTTCTTCACGAACACGTCGTGGATCCCGCATTGAACATAGAGCCGGTTTGCGCATACGCATGTCTGTCCGCTGCAGCGGAATTTACACGTCAACACGCCATCAACAGCAATATCAACATCAGCGTCGTTGAATACAATGTATGGAGCATTTCCACCGAGCTCCATACTAACCTTTTTCATCGTCCCTGCTGCCCTTTCTGTGATGAGTTTTCCAACTCCGGTTGAGCCTGTGAAGCTGACTTTCTTCACTAGCGGATGCGTATACAGCTCTGTCACAGCATTCCGATCTTTTGTCGTGACGACTTGGATGACATTTGGTGGAATGCCCGCTTGAATGGCTAGGGCCGTTAGTGCCAGAGTACACAGTGGCGTCTCACTCGGCGGCTTTACAACGACTGTGCATCCTGCTGCTATTGCAGGCGCTAGCTTCCGCGTAATCATAGCAATGGGAAAGTTCCAGGGAGCAATGATACCGCAGACGCCGATGGGTTGACGTATAACGAGGTTTGTGCTGCCTTTGTGTTGAGAAGGAATCACATCCCCATACGATCGCACTGCTTCCTCCGCAAACCAGGTAATGAATGAGGCGCCGTACTCGACCTCGCCCTCCGCCTCCGCTAGAGTCTTTCCGTTCTCCATCGTCAGGAGCACACCGAGGTCTTTGGCATGTTCACGAATAAGCGCCGCCCAACTATGTAGCATCTTTGCTCGAGCGGTCTCTTGCGTTCTCCTAAATGTCTTGAAAGCTATGTGAGCATGTTCAATTGCCTTTGTGAAATCTTTGGTTAAGAGGTTTGGGATGTTGGCGATGACTTTGTTGGTGGCAGGGTCATAGACGGGAAAAGTGCTGCTCCCGCCAACCCACTCGCCACCGATAAATGATTTTTCATATAAGAGGGATTTGTCTTTCAGAGCCGCCTTGATGCTCTCTGGGTGCACAAAAGATGTGAGAGCCTCCCTCATAGTGAAACTTTCAAAGCTTAGCTTCGTATAGATGGACGTAAATTTTGAAATGAGTAGACTCTCGGACTGACTGTGATCTTCTTGAAGTATGCAGTTATACTTATGATATGCTAAACGCTTGTGGCTCACTTTTTACTGCCTGCTTAAACAGAGGGACAAAAGTGAGAAGTCTCGGATCAAACTCTCGGCTATATTCTCAAGAAATGGATATAGCCGGGCGAGATGCGACATGTCCTCATGATATGGTGCGAAAAAGACCCGGATTCCATTTCAAATCGGCTAACAGTAGAATTATTGAAGTGTACAGTATTCCTAGGGTTATTAGTTTTATTGGTGATTGCTAGCGGAGCGAAGGCGGGGGGGGGGCAATGGGGAATACAGCTTCTCAGTCCTCACTACACCCCGTAGAACAGGCCCACCTCGGTGTCACTCATACCTCACCACCATCTCTCCCAAACTCATCACAAAATTTTGAAACATGAACGTTAGTCTGGCCACCCTACGTGAAGTGGCAAAAACTGGCGGAGAATCAATAATGCGTCGACGTTATCTGTCAATTAATAACCGCTATTTACAGACATATCACATGTGTCCCAGTAAATGTGTGCAATGTGAAAGAAGTGGCAACAACTGCACAAGATATTTGCTTTTACGAATTGAAGGTAGACAACACGTTTTATCTTATTCACTGTATGAGTTTAGCCTCCTTCATAGGAAACATCGAGGTTGGATTCTATGGTACACTTTAAATATCGACATACTACCAAACATCAAGATACCAAAACTATATCTAACCCTCTTATAAGCAGAACTTCAAACGTCATCATCTCATTCAAGCAATACTATATTCCCAAGCATGACAATGGAAACCTCTAGAGCAGCTGACGTGGTCCTGGAATCTGTACACTGTGTGTATTGTTGCCCTTCTTCAGGATTGCAGCGCTTCCAACCTAGGTAGAGGATATCCACCCATACTTGCAAAGAAGCTACCTGCACCCGCCATTAGCTGTGCAACATCATTGCCGAGCCACTGGCTGAGAAGAGCATTCCGGGTAAGTTCCATTTCCCTAATGATAGGACCGCAGGTCTATTTGGATTTCATTAGCTCAGCCTAGTATTGAGAAATGTAGACGTACCAAGTAGCAGGCACCCCTTCTGTTAGGATCCTCAGAAATAGTTGCGACTACTTGCGCGACCTGCTGTGTCGTATTACTCGGGAGTCCACTGGCAGCCCATTGCGATGCGAAACCACCAACCATACTAGTAGGCGTGACAAAGGGAGCTACGGCATTCACCCTGATACCGTGTTTTGTTGCTTCAAGCTGAGATGCCCGCAGTAATCCTGTTATACCATGCTTAGAAGAGATATATGCCGCTACACCGGTGCCACCGAAATATCCAGAAGTGGAGATGATCAAGACAATAGAGCCTCGTGACCCGTCTGGGTGTTTATCGTTGTCCTTTATGTGGTGTAAACCGAGTCTCAATGCTAATGTATCCTGTAAATGATAATAAGCACCAAAGGTGAGGATATAAAGACTTACTACTCAGTGTGCCTTTCAGATTGATATCAATGACCTTCGAAGCCTCCGTTGCTTCCAGAAGATCTCCATTCGCATCAACGGTTTCGACGTCCAACACCGCATGGCTTTCCATCACTCCCGCATTTGCAATGACCGTATCCACGCCCCCAAATGTTTTAATGGCGGTCTTGAACATTTCCTTCATCTCGGCCCAGACAAGAGTGTTGGCCGGGACGAAAATGACACGTGATGGATCCGGTAGTGTAGCTATCAATGCTTCTGCTGCTGGACGCGCGCGTTCGAGGTCTGCCATCACTACATTCGCTCCATGACTCTCAAACAGTCGTACGATCTCCAGACCTATCCCTCCCGCTGCTCCAGTCACCACGACCGTTTTAAATTTGATGTTGTTGAGCAGGGTAGGGTCAAGCTGTATAGACGCCATTTTTGATTGTGCTGGACAGTAGAGCATACGAGAAAGGCATGTAGGAAAGAAAACAAAATCACGTAATATAAGAAGCCTGGATTCCAGTGCTCTGGTAGCTAAGATAAATATAGCAAGGGAGGGAGAGGGGTCCCAGAGGGGGTAAAAATGCGGGGAATGGAGATGAACGTAAAAACTGCCGCACTTCTCAGCTGTGTTGCTGTTGTATCAATATAACCGCAATGTACATGGCGACGAATACCATCATTTCTAGAAGCTAGGGATATGGATTGTGCGGGGCATGTAACCGAGTTATCCGATGCTGCGTATATACCCAGAGCATGTACCCGGATTCTGGTAGTTGAAGGTACAGACATCATAAGTTTCCTTTGGGTTTGAAGGTACAGACATTATAAGTTTCCTTAGGGTCTGTCTGTGCACGAATTGTAGTAAATAAGTTTCTTTTTGTATGGGAAAAAGCACGCCCTACACCCCGTGGGTGTCCAAAGTACAGGCGCATTCATGTGTATTCCTATTGCGTCATGCTTCAGACAGGAATGGATCTGCATTCCTGTCGAGGGATGTTGTGACATGACTATTGTGTAATTTACAGGCCGAGAGATATATATTCGAGCTAGATAGGTGGCGATGTGTCTGTTAAAGATGTAGTAGCAAGCCAATTGTGTAAGTTGCTCATTATGGGTTTGATTATGCAATTAGCTGTGTCAGAACTGATATAATAGCATGATTGAAGCTTCAATTTCGGCGTTTAGAGCTAGGTTACAAAACAAATATCGTTCAAATATATCTCTGCCTCAACACCCCCTTTCGGGATTTCTGCACTGTCTAAAGACATCAAGGTATTCCCTTGCCGCTTGTGCATTCAACAGCATATCGTGGAAGGTAACACTTTCTACCACTAATAAGCCCAAACTCGTTGCACCCCGCTTGCGTCGGGTTTGCCGTTCTTGTTCATCCTACCATAGTGAAATCTCAACCCCACCATAATAGCCGTGGTTAAAAAGCTAGCAGTTGAACACACAATGTTACCTATAGGGAAACCGCGAGCCGCGTCTGTCGCTGGCCAAATCCAAACTGAGATGATCGACGCAATTCCCACTGTTCCATTGTTGATGGCGGCAGCTAGACCCATAGTTCTTTGGCTCGGGACGTTGCACGTAAGCCAGCCTACCATTGGGGAAGCGCTGGGAAAAGCTCCGCAAGCAATGAGAATCAGACATCCGTAACGCTTTAGGTAGGCATTGGCAGGCAGTAAAGTACAGGCAAGAAATCCAACACCGCTCAAGAAGGTGGCGCATGCAACGTGAATACCGCGCGCATTGAAACGGTCCGCAGAATATGCAAGGCCAAGAGAAACGACGTATCCAATAACCCAAGGAGGAACGGTCATAAGTTGAGCTGTGATGGATGTGTATCCTAGACGTGCGACGATGGTGGGGGTAAAGTATGCAAGCGAGTTGAGAACAATAGTGTTGGTCAACTTGCAGCCTTTAGCATTGACAGATGTAGGTGGAGTGACGGCATGGACTTACGTATGCGAAGTAGTGAGCGACCATGCGAGGAGTAAAACATGTCTCTAGAACTTCTCGTCGGCTTGCACGCTCTCTGGTGAAGCCACTTGCTTGTGCCTCAAGCTGAATTGTAATACAATTTTTCTCGTCATCACTGAGCCATTTCGCCACAGCTGGCCAGTTTGGCAAGAACACTATAACCAGTGGCACGCAAAGAATGGTGATGAGACCTTCAATAATGAAAAGCCAACGGAAACCTTCGAGACCTCCATCACCGTTCATGAACCCAACGCCATATCCGATGCAGCCCCCAAAGGCTCCAGCGAGAGATGCAGACGCCAGAACGAGAGCAATGCGTAGAGATCGTTGTTCTTGGGTATACCAAAAGGTAATGAGGTATACAATACCTACATGATAAAGGTTAATTAATGCCGTGTTAGGAGGATGTCAGGCTTTTAATTACCCGGAAAGAAGCCAGCTTCGAAGACCCCAATCAGAAACCGCAACACAACAACTGTGTGGAAATTCTTAGACCACGCAAACCCTAGTGTGAGGATTCCCCAAGACAACATAAGAAAGCCAAGCCAGTGCGAAGGGCGGACATATCGCTTCATAATCCAGTTGGCCGGGACATCGAACAGTGTGTAGGCGACACCAAAGATAGTTAATACCACGGAATAATCTATAGAGCTCATGTTGGTTTTCTGCAGAAAGGAGTCACCGGTTTCTTGGTTGAGGATTTTTCCATTCCCGATGTTGGTCCTATCAAGGTAGTTGAGCAAGTAGATAAAGGCACATAGTGGCACTAAGCGCATGTCGATTTTCCGGGTGACGCGTTTCTTGTACTTCTCGTCATACTCAACGATATCCGTCTTGAGGTCAAGGTCGATAGCCACGTCTGACGACTCCATGTGCATAACACGTCCTTCGTCATCTTTGATCATACTAGATAGACGCTACGGGCGTCAAGATATATTACAAATTGGGTAGGCTTATCAAGTAGGTCTTGTAAAGAGATTTTCAGTGTAGTATGTGATAAATTTTGGTTAAGAAAGGAAATGCAGTTGCGAAGTTCGGGGATTTATATATCCTTAGCCATGGAATACATATACTCCCCTCCCCAAGCTTCCTTTTCGGGCAATGAGCAACATCAATTTCCATCTTGCTTACTTCTACATCATAGTTACGGCTAGTCTAAAGTAAGTCGAGTATGGGGTAAAAACGCGGGGATTCTGGGGAACGTCGCCTCAGCACCGCATTTCCCCACGTCGCACTATTGATCGTGGCATATAGCCGAGCCGTATTGCCCTTGACCAATCGTTGGGCTGACGATACATCTAGCTTAGTGAACATAATTAGTTCCCCGGCTTGAATCCTTGATCTGCACTTCTGCCAGAGAAAAACGGGTTCTTGAGGGGTGTGCACGCGAAAAGGATCTACCGGGGAGTCTGAGGGCTGTGTTAGTGTGCTGAGCTTTGCAAACTGACTTATTGGAACCTGGGATCTCCAAGTAACCGAAGCTACGTGACCATCGCGACTCCCCACTGCAACTGTATATTGATATCGCCGTATGTCGAACGCTTAAAATCTTAAAATCATCTACAACTACGCTTATCAAAGGGAGTGACGCTGAAATTTCTATCGATATTACAAATTCGACGCCTCAAGCTATCGTACAAGCACGAATTAGTGACACGACACGAAGGAGATGGCATCATCCTTTGAATATGGCTTCACCCTACCCAATGGAACGAAAGTCATCCACGGCGAAGGCGTCATGGTGAAGGACGCGTATCCTCCAGATTTGAACATCCCAGGCCAGCTTCAGATTTACAGTCCTGGCCACAACGCCGATTCCACAACTCCAACGTTTTGTGGCCCCCACGGCGTCTTCGAGTTCGACGTCAAACTTAGGATGCCTCGACATGTCCATATGTCCCCCAAGTCGTCTGGGGATGGCAAGCGGTACATTGTGGAGAAGATCTTGGTCCTGAACGGCGTCGCACTTGCAGAGCTTAGTGGTGAAATATATGTTATTCCACCGAACACAATGGTTCTCATAGGTCCTGGCGTGCCTCACACATGGACAGCCTGCCCGCCCGGCCTAGACCTGCAGGAAGTCGGAGTCTCCAAGGACGAGAAGATTGTCTCCGAGGGAAAGTTCACAGCGGTCTTTGAGTATGAAGAGCCGACGGCATTCTTCCCCACTGCACAAACGAACGTGCTGAAGGAGGAGAGCGAGTACGTGAAGTGTGACGACCTTCACGGGATCCAGATTCCGGTATTGAAACTCGAGGAACTAAAGAAAGATGCATGGTTCGTTTGGGGCAGAGGAGTACGGAAGCTTGATGACAAGCAGTGATATTGTTGGTGGTAGTGGATAAAACTGTTGGATCTTTTTTTGGAGAGCTAGCTTGAGTAGATTCTCCTCCATACCACAACAAATACGAAGAACCACCATACTATACATAAAAGAATACCCTTGACTGGTAAACACGAAGTCGCTGACTCGCGGCCAAGTCCTCTGGGACACTGCTGATCTTAACTGCGAAACGTTCATTATTTTGGTTCTATGGTGGACGGTCACGCTGTATATTATATATCGTAGATCAATTCGCTGCGTCTTGGAACTGTTTTGGCTAGAGATCGCAGTAAATTCGGTCTATCGTTCGGCGTTGCTCCTACATAGTACTCATTACTTTCAACTGTCGACAAGTAATGGTACGAAGGTTGTTGGGGGGAAAGAGAGTTCCGGAATACGGAGATCCACACTCTCTAAATGGTCTACGTACTTCGTAGTTGGTGATTCGGGGGGAGTGGCCAAAATGCGGAGTCTTAACCGGTTTTACGTGTTGGCTTAGCAACAGCCGCCACACGAGCTGTGGCCAATGGGATACCCTAGGGAAACTCCCTAAACAGGGCATATTCCTTGGCAATCCCAAGCCCTCCCCGAATCTCCAACAAAGCGGAGATATACCTAGGTGTGGGGTTGTCACAAACTGGGTCAAGTACATAGTAGGAACGCGGACCTTCACCCAAGTCAGCGTTTAGACTTTGTAATACAGACCTTATCTTTGTAATACAGACATTACATTCGACATAACTACCGATAACGTGACTGTATACTGCCCTGTTCAACCCGAGATCCATCCTTACCGGGGTAAACAAGAGCAGACACCGTCCTACGCTCATACATAATATAACAGTGCTCGTTTTCTATTTCTTTCGCGGGAGAGTAACTTCTCGCATCAGCCGCGCTCACGATCGAAATTTTTCAATTTTAGCCACGCACGCGATACAAAGTCTCCCTATCGCGGCACTTGTGGACCCTTGGATGCGAAGATGCCAGACGAAGGCCAAAATGGCCCTGTCCGGTTACGCGCATCGCGGGCTTGCCAGACATGTAGTCTGCGAAAGGTGCGATGCGATGCGACAGAGGTCGGACTTCCCTGTAGCCGTTGTCGCGTAGACAAGTCTCCCAACTGCGTTCTGGTTTCATCGAAACGAGGAACATACGCAAGAAGGCAGACTCGCCTCACGAGTCCCTACGAGAGGACCACGAGTGTGAAAATCGATGCGCAGTCGAGCAACACACGCTACCCATCTTCCGACGATGCACACTCGACACGTAGGAGCATATCATCGGTGGAGTCGGCCCAGCCGAATCCCGTGACCTATCCATCAGAGTTCTCCAACGCAACATGCCAAGATTCAACTCAACCAACCGATTCGGAAACGATGGAATTTGACAAACCGGACAACGTGATGAACACATTTGAAAGTCAGAGCTTTGCGACGCCAACAATACTACAGCAACATCGAGACTCACTCACATCGATGTTCGAAAGGTTTATGGAACAGCAAGGCCAGAATCCCGAGGACTCTACCAAGTGTGGCATCATTTTTATGAGCGGGGCATCTCCTCTGACCTTTGCGCTAGAGGGGGCCCAACGTAGCAACCACAAGGCAGCTTTACATGATGCTGGCTCGCATTTTCCCAAGGGCGATGACATAGGGACAATCGAGGATGACGCCCATCCGTCACATCTGTCACCGCAGGATATAGGCTATCTTAAAGTGAAAGGTGTCTTTCAACGTCCGACGAGCGAGGTCAGGGATGCAATGGTTACAGCTTTCGTAGAGAGATTCTATCCCTCATACTCTATCGTTGATCTTGGCGGATTCAAAGAGTCGTTTAAGGCAGGAACCCCGCCTTGGAGTTTGCTCCACGCAGTTTGTTTTATTGGAGCTACGTTCTGTGACTTGAGCGTGATCCACCGAGGTGGCTTCAAAGGGCGTTTGCATGCACGACGTCACTTCTACGATAAGGCAAAATTATTATTTGATATTGGCTACGAAACGAACAAGATTGTACTACTTCAAACTGTTATTATGCTCTCGTTCTGGGGCCCACAGATGAAGAGTTATTGGAATCCATGTTCCTGGATTGGCTTTGGTGTTACCATTGCAGAATCTCTAGGGATTCATAGGATAAACACGTCTACCGACATGGATGCGAAGCGGAGGAGCTTGCTAAAACGGTTGTTTTGGGTTCTTGCCGTCCGGGATGCGTATTGTGCGGCGTTGTTAGGTCGTCCTTGCCGGCTCAACATAGCTCAGTGCGACACGGAACCGCTGACCCTAGACGATTTCGACCATGATGAACTATGCCCGAGACAAGACCATACAAAGTGCCAGTCACATGGCCACTATCAAATCCAAGTCTCGAAGCTCTCACTCATTCTTCGGAGCATCATCATAGCGCGATTTGGTCTAGGGAAGAATACCAACCAGACAGCTCATCTCCAAAACACAATGGACATGTGGCAATCCGAGCTGCCGCCGTCTCTGAGCTGGTGGCGGCAGCAGGGGCGGACGACTGATATCCTTTCTATAAGCTTAAAAATAATTTTCCACCTACAACTTATCCTCATCCATCTCGATAAACCAGGCGAAGCGGAAGCGACAGCCGCTCATGCCACTACAGGCTTGTCGAACGGCTTCACTTCATCGTTTCAGATTGTTGAATCGGCAGCGCAAATGATCTCATCAACGGCTATCACAATCATTGCCAACTCAATGCTTGGTGTGATGCCCCATGAGATATTCTCGGGTTTCTTTGTGGCAGGCATCGTTTTCTACCAGGGGATCAAGCAACCGCAAGACTTTTTGGCTGGTCTGCCCAGGTCGGCGCTAGATAACTGTCAAATGGTGATTAGTGAAGCAAGCGAGAGATGGGATCCAGCAAATTGGGTGATGAGAATATTTGATTTCTTGCTGTCTAGCAGCGTCAACAATACGGATACAACTGCGCAAATAGCCTGGAATAAACCTACGGTGGACAATACCTCTCAGGGGCTAGACACGATGCCTGTTTCGGGCGATGATTACGTTCCAAATATGATGCCGGAAGACGACATCCTGCACTCTATTGATTTTGACTCGCCAACCTATCAAGGCATGGCTTCGATGCCCAACGAGTTCTTTCTGATGTCTAAATTCCTGCCCATGCCCCTAGGAGACTCTTCGTTCATGCCGATGTAGGGCAGTTCGGCTTGAATGGGACCGGTATGGCATAATGAATTGTGACCCGGGACCCGGGTGACTTTCGGTGGATTTGGAGGTGCGGCATCCTCTAGAAATAAAGCTACGCCAGATCGTTAACCCAGCGTCATACCCCAACTTAATGGCGCACGATTACAGTCCTCAGATAATCCTCGGGTCATCCTTAGGCCGTCCTCCGTGTTTAGTTCCTGCAATCTACATAGCGACCGACTATCGTTTCTTCGTTGAAGGATATCGTGGGGCATCGTATGTTTACACCGTGATGGGGACCGGTCATACCAGTTGCGGCTCGTGGAGGCGGTCCGCCGGCAGGGCCTCGATGGCACGGGCTGCTCCCGTAGTATTTGCGGAAGATAGCTCTAGGGAGGCTACGGAGGGTGTGCGAGTTGCTCTGGTAGGGACTATGGGATCTTAAGTGGCCTAAATGCATGGCTAGCACACAGACACGCAAAAGATCCCCAAGGATTTCAATTTACAGCACCGAGAGTTAGCGAACTCCACATGTCGCATCCGTAATTTAAGCATCTTCTGCAGGCTGGTATCGCCGAGGCCGCCTGAGCTTCGGGGAGAGCTCTGGAGCCGCGTAGGGTCAGGGCCCATTGCATTGCGCCCAGGAGCCGGCCAGCCAAGCGTTACTGATGCGTGACCTATTTAGTAAGCGATTAATATAATCCAATACTGTTCCGTCAGCGCCTATAGTGAGCAGCTACAGTGCATTGAGTCTCATCTGGGGCCTTTCGGCGACCCGGTCAGAGCCCCCAACGTCGGAACTTTGCTGTCATAAGTTACCAATAGCCGTCCGCTTATTGCGGGGAGCGCGGGAAGATGGGGATTGGGGATTGGGGATTGGGGAATCCACCATATAGCCGACTGTAAGCTGCATGGTTAATGTGTCCCAAACTAGCCATGAAGAACCGTGTGGATTTAATATTTGGAAGACTTATTTACTTCTTGACGGGGCATTTTCTCTAGAATATAACATTCGATCGATTTCACGTACATCTCTTTTACTCTTTGTCACCTTCAACACATAACAGTTCTGTACCCATTGAAACCCCAGATCACACAAACACTCTGCATTGAAGCTGCAATGGTTACCAAAAGTCGCCATTCTGATCTAGACCTTCCGAGCGTTGATATCTTCACTTTCTTGTTCAAGCGTACAAACCGGAAGTTTCCAGATAGTCACCGTAGGTTTATCTCTCCCCAGGAAACACCGTGTTGAGCTTGACACTGACTTATATGGCGCGCAGCAATCTTTCGCGACGGTCTCACCGATAAGACGTATACCTTTGGCGATGTGCAGCAGTTTGCCGAAGATTTCGGAAAGGGATTGAGGTCTCAATATGATTGGCAGAAGGGAGATGTGCTAGCGATCTCCTCGTTAAGCGACATCGACATGCCTCCTATAATCTTTGGGACTCTTTGGGCTGGAGGAACAGTCTCGACTGCAAACCCAGGGTACACTGTCAGAGAGATTTCTCACCAGCTTCAAGATAGCGGCGCCAAATGTGTCGTCACGCACTATTCCAACATCGAGACAGTCAAGGAAGCTTGTGGTACCGTAGGCATTGCAGACGACCACATTATCATCCTAGGAGACAAGAAAGACTCGACGGGGCGCTTCAAACATTGGACGAGTGTCTGCGATCTTGGCAAGGCAACGCGGTTTGCAGCGCAGAAGTTGGATCCCAAGAACGACGCTGCCTTTCTCGTCTATTCGTCGGGAACCACTGGCAAACCGAAAGGTGTCAAACTCTCCCATTACAATATTACTTCCAACGTCCTCCAGCTGCAGGTAGCGGAAAGGTTCAATCTGACCTGGGATGGAAGCCAAACTACTAGGGACATTCCGCTGCCAGAACCAAGGACGGGAGGCGACAAGATCCTGGCATGTCTCCCGTTTTTCCACATCTACGGGCTGAACGTTCTCGCCCTTAGTCCCCTCTACTCGGGTGTTACTACTATTGTGTTGTCTCGATTCGATGTTGACACATGGTGCCAGTTGGTACAAAAACACAAGATCACTTACTCTTATGTAGTGCCTCCCATTGTTTTGTACCTAGCTAAGCATCCTACTGTCTCATCGTACGACCTCTCCAGTCTACGCATGACCCAATCAGGCGCCGCTCCCCTAACCCGCGAGCTTATTGAACAGGTCTATAAGAGGCTAGGTATCCGTATCAAGCAGGGCTACGGATTATCTGAGACCAGTCCTTGTTTATACCAGGGTGCATGGGATTCTTGGGATGTTGACATTGGCACTTGTGGCGCCCTACTGCCCAATTTGATGGTCAAAATATGCGAGCCCTTCGACAATTCAAGCGGGGACGCTGCGGCAGCCATACCTCGGGAGCTCGGACTAGGTGAGACAGGAGAACTGCACGTGAAGGGCCCAAACGTATTCGAAGGCTACCACGGTAATCCTAAAGCCACAGCCGAATGCCTTTCCTCTGACGGATGGTTCCGCACAGGAGACGTAGGCTACATCAATGAACGGGGTAATCTCTTCATCACCGACCGAGTTAAAGAACTCATTAAGTACAAGGGGTTCCAAGTGCCGCCTGCGGAGCTCGAAGGTTACCTAGTTGACTTCCCAGGCGTAGTCGATTGCGCCGTGATAGGTATCTACAACAAAGAGCTAGCCACCGAAGTTCCACGAGCGTACGTCGTCACAGAAAATCCATTGAAGCCGCTGGATATACAAGAGTTACAGAGGTGGTTTAGCAGTCGTGTAGCTAACCACAAGAAGCTGAGAGGTGGGATTCGATTGGTAGAGCAGATTCCAAAGAATTCGAGTGGAAAGATCTTAAGAAAGGATCTGAAAGCGATGGCGCTTGCGGAGTCCGAGGCAATTCTTGCAAGGTTGTAAACGTGCAAATCAGTAGGCCGATGTTGTTAAGACATCATAGTGTCGATAGTCACTGGGGAGGTTTTCGGTGCTTGTTCATAGACTTGTAGCAATATAAATCACGTACTTAACTAGTTACCATTTTTTATAGCTAACGTAGGAGACTGTTAAAGCGCTCATAACATGTAGCGCAGTATATGGCCAGCCAAAATCACAAAAAAGAACGTGCCTCGAACGAGACTATAACGTAATTCACAAGCGAACGGATCACACAAGCGAACGGATCACCAAAACACCAAAACGCGTCAACTTAACAGAATTCAACTTATAGCAACACCAACTCAAGCTAAAACCTCTAATCAAGAGGGGAGAATACTTCTAGCTATTCAATCAATTAAAGAAGGACATATTCAAAGTATTCGAGCAAGCGCAATGTCGTACGATGTCCTATATACAACTCTCTATAGACGGTTGAATAGAGTAGCTTCCCGACGCGATTCTACTCCTAACTCTCGAAAATTAACTCTATACGAAGAGTCAGCTCTCGTTTAGTATATCCTCAACCTAGATTTACGTGGATTTCCGCCCTAGCTGTAAGGTGTACAAGAAATGGCAGACCTTCTGCTCTCTAAACGAGGCAAGAGCCCTATTAGGATAAACTAGACTACTAACTTCATTAAGCGTCGTATAGAAATCAAAGTAAAGTTCAGTTAGAAGTACGATTATAAACGAGTAAAATGCGAAGATCCTAAGATAATTAAAGGGTAGTTCTCCCTCGTACAAAACATAGTTGTAAAATATAGAATCTTAGAGTAGGATATCTACAACTTTAATGAAGTAGGTTTTGCAATAGGAGTTATTGCTACTATAAAGGTAGTTATAAGCTTAGAAGCAAAGAGCTGTCTAAAGACTATATAGCTAGGGAATAGAGAGTAGGTGTTAATTATCTAAGGTGTTAATTTGTATAGATGGGCACTCCTACTATTTATTATTTTTAAAGCATAGAATTACCTCTCTACATAGTATAAGGACATAGGATTGCTAGACGATTAGGTAATTACACTAAGTAAGAATAGGTAGACGTTAAATTTAATTAGGTATAAGTAGATTTAACACTTTAATTAGCATATAAATGCTTGTATAATTAGAACCTATTACCTTCTTATTCTTAACAGACATAAGAGCTACCTCTCTACTTAATTTTAACACTACTATATAAAGTAGAAGATAATTACCCTTTATATACTACTATACTCATTACACATTCTTTAGCCTCTTAATGTAAGCTGCTTTACGCTACTAAAGCTTTTATATAGAAAGTAGATTAAAACCTTTATATAGAACTAGCTAAACTACATTATAAAGCTTAAGTTCCTCTCTACATTTAAAGAAGCATTTAAAGCTACATTTATAGAGCAGAACATTAAGAGCAGATTCTAAGCTATAGGACTAGTTCTATACAAGCTCTAGAATGTCCTCTCTTACTTAAATCTACGCTTAAGGACTCTAACTCCTTCTATAGTTAAGAGTAGCAATTAGACTTTAAAGACTCTTTAAACTATATAGGAGCTTAACTTTCAAATAGAGCACATTAAGAACTACATTATACAACATTAGAACAGCTCTCCTACCTTAATTAATAATGCTGTTAGCTACCTTGTTAAAGGGGCGGAAATGATAATGCATTCTACTATTCTACTTAAGGTAGAAGTTAAGGCTCTATAGGCAGCAAATGAACAGAAAAAGAGGAGGTAAAGGAAGCGTAAGAGGTGTATAATGTAAGGGGGAAGCCTCTCTATATAAGAGGGAGAGGATATACTTTAGAGTGCTAAGGTTAATGCTTAAGTCCGTACGGAGGTGGCAAGTAAGACTACTCGGCAGGGGGGTTCTATAGGCCGACAGCGACGATGTGGCACATGTGGTAATATGGGGCATAATGCTCGTACGTGCGAGAGGCGCTAGGAATCAATTGCGATCAAATAAGGGTTATTATGTAGGGTGGTAGTGTAGTAGTAGGCAGTAATAGTCAATTTTGGTGTTTTAGTGATCCGTTCGCTTGTGAATTACGTTATCTCTGTAAAGTACAGATATCTTTTTTTTTAAATATTCTATGTCTCTAAGGCCTGATCTAGCGTGTCAAATCTCTTATATTTGTCTTTTGCAAAGTTCGCCTAGTTAAAGGACTATCTACTGCTTTTCCCTTTGATACTAGTGTATTGTAGAAGATGGATAACTAGCTAATACTAAATAAACTCCTCAAAATCATGCTCGACGCTCATCTCCCGCGAAGTACTCAAATCCTGAAAGTCCTCACGTTCACGGCGGCCACGAGCCCTAATACTCCATTCTATAAATCGGTCCCAATGGTCGAACCCCCCGTCTCCAGCCCCACTGTCATCCCCCAGGAACCAGTGTTGGTCAGGTATATCATCTCTTAGGGGTACCACAATGTCTTCGCCCTTGATGAACGGGTCCGTGAGCGCAGGAAAAGGGTCTCCTGATTCATCTGCTACTGACGTCGGATACGGACATCTCTCCATTTCAGTTGCGATGTCGATAAACCCGGGGTGCACTAAGCTTGGCAGGCTTTGCGATGGATGTTCTGGTCTTGCGCGTCCTTCCACGAAAGTTTCTTCATCGCTGACGGGTATTATGAATGGTGGGGTGAGACATCCCGGAGTCGCTCGTGATGACGGCGCGGACTCTTCGAATTGGTTTTGTTGGGGCGTGGGAGATGTGGCCGTCCACGAGTTATAGTGTTCTTCATACTGTCCTTTATCAGGACGCCATATTGAGGTCAGGGAACCCGCGAAGTCGTCGGCACCGCTTTTTCTTTTACAGCCGATGTCCCTTATGAAAGGGCGGCATTTCTGAGGAGGGACATATTCATAAGCAGGTGCAGCTGCTTCAACTTCATCCTCGTCATCTTTCCAGTCTTCACAGAAGACGGGAGCGAAACATGAGATCGTTTCCCCGCTTCTGGCAAATCTCCGCCGCCGCGGCCGATGATTCTTAGAGTTAAAGGATCGGTTCCAGTCATCAGTAAAGATGGCCGTGAAGCTAGTGAGGCTCTGGTTTCTATTGGTCCGTCGTGGCGCCCGGCAGGATGTGCATGTCCAGCAAGGCTGAGGCACTTGCAACATATCTGGATATGGCATCTTAAGCCGGCCGTTCTCCGGCGTGAAAGGGCAACGATGGCACTGACATTATTCTATGGCTAGCTTCGTGTCGAATGGTGTACTCATATATAATCTGCACAGGCCAACGTGGAGTCTTAGATACCTTCTACCATTCTGATAATGCGCTAACAACGACGTAACCTCTTTATTCGCAACTTTGTCGTACCCTAGCGCCGGATTCTCACGCATGCAACTGTCACCGTCGCGGCCTTCGCAGCGTCACGGGTGAAGAATGAAGCAACGGCTATATGCTCTCAGCAAACAGTTAAGCGTCGGCTAAATGACACAGCCGAAGCAGTTCGGGTTAAGTGGAGTCGGAAGTAGAATCTTGGCTGTCCCGCGTGCGCTGGCACTATTGCTTAAGCGTTACCCCAGCCTTGGAGAACCCCCGCTTTGGAGAACGCCGCACCAGCGTTCTCGAAAGCGGGGGTTGCATTTAGTTTCCCATGCTCGAGACAGACGGACAAAAAGCGATTAGCAGATATCTACCCCATCAAACAGGGACTTCCCCGCGCGCGGCCCCGAGTGTAGGGCGATATCACTTTATGTATTAGGATATATTATGGTATGACTCGCACGGTGGTCCATCCCGTTTCTCTCGTCTTCCTTTCTCCATCTCCTCTCACACTCTCTCGTCATTTAATAGTCAAATTCATTAATCGACCATTGAGACAGCGATCACAATGGAGCCACAGTATCTTGATGCTTTAGTTGTTGGTGCCGGCTTTGGCGGCATCTACCAACTTAAAAAACTTCTTGATCAGGGTTTAAATGTTAGGGCTATTGATATAGCAGATGATGTCGGAGGCACTTGGTACTGGAACCGATATCCAGGAGCCATGTCCGAGTAAGCGCACTTCTAGGGGCACTGCATTGTGCTGCTGTCTCCACGACAAAGTATTCAGCTAATATAAGTAGTACCCAATCATTCCTCTACAGATATTCCTGGGACGAGGAAGATCTTGAGACGTACCCGTGGGATAGCCACTATCTCCAAGCCGATGAGATCTTAGGATATCTCAAGCACGTTGTTAAGAAATACAACCTGCGGAAGCACTTTCAACTCAAAACAGAGTTACTAGCTGCACAATGGAGCGATGAGGAGCGCAAATGGTTCGTTACGCTGTCAACGAACGAAGTCCTCAAAGTCAAATACCTTGTGACAGGGCTCGGCCTCCTATCAAAAACCAATTTCCCAAACATCCACAACCTCGACAAATATGAAGGAGAACTCTACCACACAGCTAGATGGCCCGAGAACGCGAACCTCAAAGGGAAGCGTGTAGGAATCATTGGCAACGGCTCCACGGGTATCCAGGTCATAACCGCACTTGGAAAAGCTGAGGAGGTCAAGCAACTGATTTCCTTCCAACGCAACCCCCAATACAGCGTCCCCGCTGGAAATGGACCAGTCTCCGCCGAGCACCGCAATCACGTCAACAAGACATATAGGGAAATTTGGGACCAAGCTAAGAACAGCTTGTTTGCGTATGGTTTCGAGGAGACCAAACGCCCGACCTTTAGCGTCACTCCCGAAGAGCGCGAGCAAATCTTCGAAGATGCTTGGCAGAAAGGGAATGGTTTCCGCTTTATGTTCTGGACTTTCAGCGATATCACTGTAAATGAGGAAGCGAACAAGGTGGCCTGTGAGTTTATTAGGAACAAGATTCGCCAGACGGTCAAGGATCCAGAGAAGGCTCGGAAGCTTTGTCCCACGGACTGGTATGCCAGGAGACCTCTATGTGACACTGGTTATTACGAGCAGTTTAACCGTGATAATGTTGACGTCGTCGATATCAAGACGAACCCAATCACCGAGCTAACACCAACCGGTATCAAGACCGCGGACGGCACGCTTTACGAACTTGATGTCATCATCTGTGCAACGGGCTTCGATGCCGTTGATGGTAACTACACACGTATCGCGATTCAGGGGCGAAACGGCCACACTTTGAAAGACCATTGGGCTCAAACCGGACCGACATCATATCTGGGAATCTCTGTACCCCAGTTTCCCAACCTCTTCATGATCACCGGCCCAAATGGACCATTCTCAAACCTTCCTCCTGCGATCGAATGTCACGTCGAGATCATCTCCGACCTGATTGCCACTGCAGAGAAGAGTTCCTCAACCCTGATCAGGGCTCCTAATGTTGCCAACGGAGTAAATGATACTAAAGTCACTGATGGCAACAATAGCTTCAATGGTGTTAACAGACACGCGAACGGACTCACAAACAGTATCACCTGCGAGAATGGCATTATAGAGGCCGAACCTCACGCAGAAAAGCAGTGGACAGAGTTATGTGACGAGATGAGCTCGAAGAGTCTGTTCCGCAGAGTCGATTCCTGGATATTTGGCGCCAACATTCAGGGTAAGAAGACTACTTCTATGTTTTGGTTTGGTGGGTTGGGTCCGTACAGAAAGACAGTGCAGAAGATTCTAGAGGATGACATGAAGGGCTTCAAGCGGTTTTGAGGTTACGATTCTGTTGAGAGATTAACGGTGTTTATTGATGTGAAGGCCTCTACGAGTTTGTGCAAAGTTATCAATTCCTCGATGTATATATTGTGGCCTAGACTGTCTAGCTAAGGCTTTAGAGATAGATTCATAGCATGAGAACGCATTTCTGCATACCCAGGGCCATTTTGAGACCAATTATTGAAGGTCGTTACGTTCTATTATCACCCTCGCCAATCGAGTTATTAAAAAGGATTTGAGTTGTACTTTCGTAGCAGGATCATAACGCAATTATCTCCTCATGTGGTTCATAATGTTCGGTTGTTTAAGTCAATCATAGACAGAACGATGATTTCATATTGAAGAACTAGAATATGATGATCCGCATTAGGAGCCAACATATAGCTCGAAGCTACATTACAAGCGACTTAAGCCAAGCCTGCCAGTATAGCTCTAGTGTTGTTAGAACTATTGCACAATATACTGAGAGCCATAGAGATAGTGCAGCTTAATTTTATTCTCGCCTTCCCCCCCGCCCCAAAAAGAGAAAATACCCACTCAAATGATCATGCAGCGATGTCGAGTACCTGCAACCCCTTCACGAATGGAGGCAGGGATGTAGCCAAAAGCATATGGGCAGGGTCTTTCTTCGCATAATAATCTCGGTGCGCAACACTTTCGAATTCGGTGATGATCATATGAGTGTAGTCGTTCTTTTAAGATTTCATAGTCAGCTCACCGAACGCCAACCAATGGTCTCGAGAATTGAAGGTAGGCTGTGCTATCGGGCTACATACCTGCATTCCTTCAATTGAGTTGTCCGGTCCGGCCCTGATTGACTTGATGTATGGCTTTTGGGTGTCTAGGAGAACACACTTGTCCTTCAGCGCTATTAGCTGCGCAAGTACCTATTGGGATTTAGTGATCGTATACGTGTATCATCACGACGAGGAAAGAAGGACGCACATCATCAATTTTCTCACTGCCAACATCTGATTTGAACTGAAGCTGGACGACATGAATAATTCCTCCCATTGTAGCGATAGCGAAGCTCTTTCCAAAGCAAAGAATTGGCTAATATAATAAGTAGTAGAAATTTCGGACGTATGGCTATGCAGTAGATAATTTGTGTAAGAAATCATGCCGGAACCATGACGATTATACTTATTTCTACTTCATGGGTAGTCAGTTGTCTCCACACTTGATTGCTAAGCTAACGTGGCAGTGGTATTCTTTCGGAGCTATTTGAGCTTATTCCTGTACTTCACTCCGCTTCTTCCGTTCTGTTTTACGAGCTTACATAATTGCCGAATTTACCTACCTGCTCTAGCCCCGAATTTTTCGGGCCGGTTGGGCGGCAGATGGTTACGGGTATGCGCATTGAAGTCTGACCTGACCACAGTGTCTTAGGCAGCGCTTGTAAATCATTCGGTGTTGCTCCATATATATCCACCTGTGCTTGTTAATCATATTCTCCTTCTAAGACCCATCAAATCGGATGAGAGAGATATGTGGGATTTATTAGCGTATAATCGTCCGTGACGTAGCCTACCAAAACTATATAGCTGTATGCTGGGTGAACTTTTTTGAAATTCAGTCGATATAACAGTCTTGGTGTATTGCAATCACAGCCAAAAGTTCATAGCGAATTCTCATCAACTCATCCACTCCCCATCAACCCCTCATTCTACTCACTATGGCGGACAAGGGCTCCGTTTTCCTCCTTGGCCCAGGTTTCATTGGGCTCGAAATCCTAGGAGAGCTCCTTCGTGAAGGGTACCAGGTAACAATACTGGTTCGAAGAGAGGAAGCAAGGGCAGATCTTGAAAAGCTCGGATCCAAAACTATACTTGGATCGCTAGACGATGGCGACACTATCCGCGAAGCAGCTGCCGCTGCCGATATCGTTATACACACTGCAACAGCTGACCATAAACCATCAGCTGTTTCTATCCTCGACGGTATCGGAGCGCGTGCCAAGACTGGAAAAAGCTCTATCTACATCCATACTAGCGGCTGTAGTCTCATCACTGACGATTCCAACGGTGAATATGTCAGTGAGAAGATATATGAGGACGACAAGCCAGAAACGGTTGATAGCGTAGCTGACGACGCACCACATCGGTCCATTGACCTAGCCATCCTCAAGCGTCGCGACGCCCTTGGAGCCAAAGCTAAGATCTCGATTGTGCTTCCGCCCGTAATCTATGGGGTTGGTAAGGAACACCGCCTATCGATCCAGATCCCAACAATGGTTCGATTCGCGCTCAAGCACGGCTACGCCGGTTTTGCTGGAAAAGGCAAATCAGTCTGGGGTCAAATTCACGTCTCTGATCTGGCAAGGGGTTACATGACCATCCTGCATTATATGGAATCCACGTCTGGGGAGAAGGTCCTCGAGAACCCATATTTCTTCATCGAGAACGGAGATGAATATTCATGGAAGAGATGTGCCGAGGAGATTGGGAAGGCGCTTCAGCAGGGAGGCAAAATCCAAGATCCAACACCGAGGGAGATTTCAAGTGATCTCTATAGTGATCTTTTTCAAGAGTGGTCCGTTGCAGTCATTGGGCAAAATGCAAGGAATCGCGCCAACAGATTGCGCGCTCTTGGGTGGAAGCCCCAAGAGAAGTCGACTTTCGAATCTTTGTTATCGGAAGAGTTACCCATTATACTAGCTGAAAAGGGCGATTTCAAAGGCTACGGAGCAGCAGTTGCTTCTTAATTGTTCTGTATCCCGCTTAATTGCGTTTAGAATGGCACTGCTGAAAGTAAATACAAAGAATCCTATTCTTTTCTGTTTAATCATGTGTCGTAGAACCAAGTCCGACAAACTTTACAGTGATAACCACCTATTACACTATCGATCAATCCTTAGCCTTGAATCTCAACTGCTTCGACTGAAAGCACGGTGCTTAATTATTCCTTGATCGTCGACCCTCATCATATGAACTTATCATAGAACTGCCATAGGTAATGGATCTTAACTACATGATTTCTATTTCTGAACCAAGAGCCTGCATTCCCTATATGCTAAATAAAATCTTATGTACTTTCTGCTTCTCGAACAACTTGAAAGCCTCCGGCGCCTCTTCAAGAGACATTTTCTTCTGGCACAAAAAACCAAGCTTGACCTTCAACTTCTCTAGCACAGCAGCAGTCTCGTCAAATATACTCCGTACAGGACACCGCCCGAAGACCATCGTTACATTTCTCGAGTATAAAGCAAACCCCGGGAAACTGATCTGTTCATTGTGCACTCCCACACTCGAAATTTTGCCAAAAGGACGGACCAGATCAAAGGCGAGTTCGAGGGCATCAGCATGGCCAACAATTTCCATCACGACGTCTGCACCGCGACCGGACGAGGCTTCCTTGATCTTCTCGACTGGATTGTCGGAGAGGTTGACGGGGATTGCACCTAGTTTCTTAGCCGCCTCCAGCCGTTCTGGGATAGAGTCAACAGCAAAGACCTTGGCTTGGCCGCCTGTGAGATAGATAGCTGATGCGATGGCGCAGATACCTACAGGCCCACAGCCGAGTACTACGGCTATAGTATCTTCTTGTTGTGTCTTAGGTAGGTCTTTGAGGAAGCGACTAGCAGCGAAATAGCCTGTCGGGAAGACATCTGCCATCAGGACGAGCATGTCTTCTGGAATCCCGGGCGGGGCTTTTACCAACGACGATGCGGCATGCGGCACGCGGACGTATTCCGCTTGTCCTCCATCGACGGTGAATGCGGGTGTGATGCAACCGAAGAGTACGCCCTTTGAGCATCGACTAGATTCGCCTTGCTTGCAATAAAAGCAGTCGCCGCAGGCAGTAGAGAATGGAACGACGACATGGTCACCGATCTGAAAATTCCGAACTGAATCGCCTAGTGCCACTACGTATCCGACGGTCTCATGCCCGCAGACAAACCCTGGCGTTGACTTCTGATGGCCTCGGTAGTAGTGCTACGCACGAGTAAGTGAGATGCCGAGAAGTTTGGAGGGCAGTAAAGCCAGTCTCTACAGTGTAAGAGTCACTTTAGAATCACGTACCAAGTCGCTGCCGCACAAAGCCGTGGAGGAGACCCTGAGAATCGCGTCGGTGGGCTCGCGAATATGAGGAGTTGCTCTGGTCACAACTTCGACTTCAAAGGGGCCTTTGAAGACCACTGCCCTCATACTACCTGGTATAAAAGAACCCATGAGAAATAGGCTAGACGGTGACCAACCAACTTGGCAAACCAGAGATGATGCTTAACGATAAGAATCATAATCAATTGCTCACGAAACAAGGTAGAAAGGCATCATTTATGGCATCAACAACGACGCAAGTCGTAGAGTTCGGGGTTCCAGGCCTCGGGCCATAGTTACCAGCATAATCCTGACCCGTAAAGACTTTGTTGCCTTTCCAATATTCCACCTCGCAATAACCGAAGATAAGTCTAGACATTACCGGCGGCGGAAAGCTGATTCTACCGTACCCGAGAGACAGATGCGGCTATATGGGTTACAAGATACTGTAGTATGTGTGGGGCGGCAACTGCGGGTCTCTTGGCATGCTATAAAAAAGGGCCCATAAAAATCCCACCAGACCAAAGCACAATGGAAGCCATAAAGTATCTGCCCACCTTAATGTTACGGCTAGCCCCACCATTAGTGTCAACAAGGGGATTGGATGTGGAACTGCATACGAGAACAGGCAACCATTAGTTAAAAAGAGGCTAGGGGGATTCTAGTATCACGTGATAGACTACGCAGGACCACAATGGTCCTATGTAGGTTAGGACTATAATGGACTATAATAGTCCTTTATAGCAATAGGCACGACACTACTATATAAGTAGATAGTTAGTTCTTAGATAGGAGCTTCGTGCTTAACTTAATATAGTATTTGTTATATACTAGTAGCATGTTTTACAAAAGCCCTTATATCTAATCCCCTACCTCCTCTATTAAGTAAACTAACATAACAAAACCTTTATAATATCCTAGCCTTAGGACCTTAGCGTTACACTAATAAGTAGGCACTAGAATCTAAATAAGTACCTAATAAGTATTAGGCACTAGATAGAGTAGGCACTAGAAGGGTTATAGATACTAGAGAATAGAAAGCCTTATTAATAGAATAGTAGAAATAGTAAGAATAGTAATAGAGTTTACTATTCTAACTATTCCCTTTAGTATATTACTACTATATAAGTAGATAGTTAGTTCTTAGATAGGAGCTTTATACTTAACTTAATATAGTATTTTATTATATATTAACGTATTTCATAGGCAAGTTGCCTACATAGGCGAGTCGCCTACTAGAACACCAAAACGTGTCAACCCATCTATAGTTAACAATGCTACAACTAACACAAGCCTAATCCTCTAATTAAGAGGGTAGAATACTATTAGCTATCTATGTAATTAAGCAAGGCTAATTTTAAAGCGTTTAAGCAGCTGCAGCATTGTACAATATCCCCTAAACAACCTTATGTAATTGGATTTACAGCATGACTTCTCAACGCGATTCTACCCCTAACTTACGAAAATTAACTCTATACGAAGAGTTAGCTCTTGTTTAATACATCCTCAACCTAGATTTACATAGGTTTCTACCCTAGCTACAAGCTGTGCAAGAAATGGCAGACCTTCTACTCTCTAAACGAGGCAAGAGCCCTATTAGGATAAACTAGGCTACTAGCTTTATAAAGCGTTGTATAGAAATTAAATTAAAGTTTAGTTGGAGGTACGATTATAAACGAGCAAAATGTAAAGATCCTAAGATAATTTAAGAGTAGTTCTCTCTTGTACAAAATATAGTTGCAAAATATAGCATCTTAGAGCAGGACATCTACAACGTTAATGAAGTAGGTTTTGCAATAGGAGTTATTAGTACTATAAAGGTAGTTATAAGCTTAGAAGTAAAGAGCTGTCTAAAGACTATATAGCTAGGGAATAGAGAGTAGGTGTTAATTATCTAAGGTGTTAATTTGTATAGATAGGCACTCCTACCGTTTATTATTTTTAAGGCATAGAATCACCTCTCTACTTAGTATAAGGACTTAGGATTGTTAGACGATTAGGTGATTACGCTAAGTGAGAATAGGTAGACTTTAAATTCAATTAGGTATAAGTAGATTCAACACTTCAATTAGCATATAAATGCTTATATAGTTAGAACCTATCGCCTTCTTATTCTTAATAGGCATAAGAGCCACCTCTTAGCTTAATTCCAACACTACTATATAGAACGGAAGATAATCACCCTCTATATACTACTACACTCCTCGTACATTCTTTAGCTACTTAATGTTAGCTGCTTTGCTCTACTAAAGCTTTTGTATAGACGTTAGATTAAAAGCTTTATATAGAACAGCCTAAATTATATTATAAAGCTTGAGTTTCTCTCTACATTTAAAGAAGCATTTAAAGCTGCATTTATAGAGCAGAATATTAAGAGTAGGTTCTAAGCTATAGGACTAGTTCTATACAAGCTGTAGAATGTTCTCTCTTACTTAAATCTACACTTAAGAACTCTAACTCCTCCTATAGTTAAGAGTAATAATTAGACTTTAAAGACTCCTTAAACTATAAGGGAGCTTGACTTTTAAACAGAGCACGTTAGGAACTGCATTATACAGCATTAGAATAGCTCTCCTAGCTTAATTACTAACGTACTAAGCTAGCTTGCTAAAGGAGCTTAGGTTATAATGCATTCTGCTACTCTGCTTAAGGTAGAAGTTAAGGCTCTATAAGCAGCAAATGAACAGAAAAAGAGGAGGGAAAGGAAGCGTAAGAGACATATAATGTAAGGGGGAAGCCTCTCTATATAGGAGGGAGAGGATATCCTTCATACTACTAAGGTTAATGCTTAAATCCATATAGAGGTAGTAAGTAAGAGTAGTTGGCAGGTAGGTTCTAAGGGCTAATAGAAGCGCTATAGCTGATGTAAGAAGATTAGACATAATTCCTATACGTATAAGAGGCGCTAGGAATCAATTTCAATTAAATAAGGGTCATTATGTAGGGTGGTAGTGTAGTAGTAGTAGTAATAGACGTGTTTTAGTGTTCTAGTAGGCGACTCACCTATATAGGCAACTCGCCTATAAAATACGTTATAACATGTTTTATAATGCCTTTATATCTAATCTCCTATCTCCTTTAATAAGTAAACTAATGTAATAAAACCTCTATAAGTCTTATAAGTTTAAGACCTAGCATTATACTAAGGACTAGATATAGTTATAAAACTAGATCCTATAGGCTTTAGCCTAAAGGTAGTATAGATAGAGTATATAGAAGGTAGCTATAAAGGCCCTAGAGGGCATAGGCACTAGCATCTTTAAAATTAGGGATCTATAATTCCTATTAGCCTAGCTTAAGTTATTACCTCTATACTAACGTATCCTTATTATCTACTAGTTTATTAGAATTGTTTTTATATCTAATTAATTAATTAGCATCTTACTATATATCTAGAGGAGCTACTTACTAGTCTTAGAGAAGGGGTTATTAGCGTTATTTATAGAGACAAACAATAAGAAGTAGATAAAGCCTTATATTCTAGCTTATAATAAAGCTGCCTAAATTAGGTAGGTATAGCTACTTATAACGCTAGGTCTTAACTTATAAGACTTATAGAGGTTTTATTACATTAGTTTACTTAATAGAGGAGGTAGGGGATTAGACATAAAGGCTTTTATAAAACACGTTACTAGTATATAACAAATACTATATTAAGTTAAGCATAAAGCTCCTATCTAAGAACTATCTATCTACTTATATAGTAGCATTATACTAAGGGGAATAGTTAGAATAGTAGACTCTCTAACTATTCTTACTATTCCTACTAATCTAAATTACATGTGTGTCCTATAAGAGGTGCTACACTTATTATAGGTACCGATTCCCATAGGTGCCTTCCTAAGGAGGCACCTTATTCTATATAGGTGCCTTTCCTAGTAGGCACCTTCCTTTTACTAGGTACGTTTCTAGAAAGGTACCTTTTCCTAAAGGTGCCCTTATTAACTAAGCTACCTATAGTCTCTACATCTGTTTCCTGCTGCTAATTAGCTACAAGCTATTTTACCTTATTACTATATCTTATAGTATATAGGTTGTATGTTCTAGCTATAACACTACTACCCTTTTATAATAATACTCTCTAGTAACTTACCTAGATTAGACCCCTTTTACTACTAATTCTAGACCCTACTATATAATTAGAAAATTAAATAAAGGAATTATAGTCTTATATATTAAATAGAGGTAATATAGTACTAAATTAAAATTACTACCTCTATAGATAAAGTACTCTCTTAATATATAAGATATATAGTATAGTTATAGATATAATATATAACGTAAATTCTATATATAAAGAATGTCCCTCTAATAGTGTAAGGGTTTAGTAGAAGCATGCTATAGCTATAGGCCTAGGTAACTAAAATAGCATTTAATAGACTAATCTCTAAGCCCTCTCTATAAGGGGTTTAGCTATTCTTATCTACTACTTTAGAGTTAGGCCCCTACTAACTTAGCTATAAGTTAGGGCTATGTACTAACCTCCTACTAGTTATAAGGCATAGTGTTATAGTAGGTTTCTACAACCCCTATACTAATACATTGTTAAATAGAGTAATCTAGGTTGTAGTGTTTTAGATGTAGATTATAGGGTTATAGGTTCGCTTAGGGAAACGCTCCTAGGAGAAGTCTCCTAGAAGAATTCTCCTAGAAGCAATAGGCTCCTAGAAGAGTTCTCCTAGAAGAGTTAGTCTACTAGAAGAACTCTCCTAGGAGAGGAACTCTCCTAGAAGAGAATTCACGTAATTAGATATATTAACGTATTTCACGGGCGAGCGGGTCACACGAGCGAGCGGGTCACTAAAACACCAAAACGCGTCAACCTATCTGTAGTTAACAATGCCACAACCAACACAAGACCAATCCTCTAATTAAGAGGGTAGAATACTATTGGCTATTACAGCACTTAAAGAAGGCAATATTAAGAGTATTCGAGCTGCTGTAATGTCGTACGACGTCCCATTTAAGTCGCTCTGTGCACGACTTAACGGTGTTACTTCTCGACGCGACTCTACTCCTAACTTACGAAAATTAACTTCGTACGAAGAGTTAGCTCTTGTTTAATATATCCTTGACCTAGATTCACGTGGGTTTCTACCCCAGCTACAAGCTGTGTAAGAAATGGCAGACCTTCTACTCTCTAAACGAGGCAAGAGCCCTGTTGGGATAAACTGGGCTACTAGCTTTATAAAGCGTCGTATAGAAATCAAATCGAAGTTTAGTTGGAAGTACGACTATAAACGAGCAAAATGCGAAGATCCTAAGATAATTAAAGGGTGGTTCTCCCTCGTACGAAACACAGTTGTAAAATACGGAATCTTAGAGCAAGATATCTACAACTTTGATGAAGTAGGTTTTGTAATGGGAGTTATTGCTACTGTAAAGGTAGTCACAAGCTCGGAAGCAAAGAGTCGTCTAAAGACTATACAGCTAGGGAATAGAGA